CTTGTCTTACTCCTTTCCCAATTTTGAACCAATCAGTTGTTCCATATCCAGTTCTAACTGTTGTTTCCTGTCCCACATATAGATTTCTCAGAAGATAGATAAGGTGGTCAGGCACATTTCTTTAAGGACTTGCCATAGTTTGTTTTGGTTGACAAAGTCAAAGACTTTTGCATAGTCAAAAGTAGCAGAAGTAGATGTTTTTCTGGAACTCTCTGACTTTCTCCATAATCCAGTGCATGTTAGCAACATCCAGCTGCTAATCCAGTTTACCAAGGTTCAAAGATCATACATTCCACGTTCCTATGCAGTATTTTTCATTGCAGCATCAGACTTTCCTTTCACTTCAATGCACGTCCGCAGCTTAGCGTCCTTTCGGCTTTGGCCCAACCACTTCATTAGCTCTGGAGCTATTTGTACTTGTCCTCTGCTCTTCCTCAGTACCATGCTGGATGCCTTCCGACCTGAGGGGCTCATCTTCCAGTGTCATATCTTCTAGCCTTTTGTTTCTGTTCATGGGGTTTTATTGGCAAAGATACTGGAGTGGCTTGGCAGTTCCTGCTCCAGGTGGATCGCGTATAGTCAGAACTCTCCCCTATGACCTGTCCGTCTTGGGTGTCCCTGCACTGCATAACCCATAGCTTCTCTGAATTACTCAACCCCCTGCACCATGACAAGGCAGCAATCCATGAAGGGGGGCATCATGTCACTAATAAACAAATTTTGGTTTTATATAGAGAACCTACTTCCAATTTCCTTGAACATTTATCATTGCATCAGATTACCATTAAGATGTTACACATTTTTCAGAACAACCTTGTTGAAATATAAATAAATACAAAGGTTTGACTTAATTTCCTTTAACACGATTATTTATGATTTAGAAGCTATATTTTCTCGATTGGGGTTCTTTTCCAAAAAAATAAAGCAGAAAGGGAATTAGATGGTCTGGTTTTGTTTTTAATTTGTTTTTTTACTTACTTTAAAATACACAAAAAATACAAACCTAACAAATAAAAAAACTTGATACATTTTAGATTATGTGCTGTAAAAGTAACCAATAGAAGATTGAAATTCATTTATTGTGCACAACAGTCAAATGCAAAAATTCTCTTAAGATCACCTTTAATTGCAACTGACGAGCATATAACAAAAGTTGGATTTAAGTATCTGGAGAATCACATCATTCTCCAACAGCTCATACTCAATTTCATAGCACTATCTATTGAACTTCTTGCTACTCATGGTAGTTGGTAAGCACCTACGGTAACTAAAAGCATCTCAGTTGCACTTTCAGCACAAGCAAGTAAATTTGTAAGAAAGACTCCTATAAATTAGATGCTAACAGAAAGGCACAGCCAAGCACAGATGAAATCTATTGATATATATGGGAATATGTATTTGGACGCATAATTCCACTACATTCCACTTAAAGAGTAGCACCCACATTTGGATGCTGATTCAGTTTATGCTGACTTGCTGCATTTTCTAACTGTGAAAAATTTTGTTTTCACAAATGTCCCATATTTGCATTATTCACAATAGTTAAGTAAGAATGGTTTCATTATACAAACAAATGAAAACTTACCATTTTAAAACTATAAAACAGAATAGTCAAAATGGTAAGCTGCTATACACCTGAAAACTATAAACCTGAAAAATCCACAAAGATTATACCTACACTACTATCCTATCTATCTGGTCGGAGGTCAGATACATAAGAAATCTGTTTACCACCGGAAATTAACTATCTGTGTAAAGCTTTTGAACTACTAGTAAAACTTCTATAACTATAAAGAACTGATTCTCAGTCATCCAAGTGAGGTTAACTGGAAGTTGAGTCATGGCAATTAGACTTCTTTTTTATTAGATTGAAATGTTTCACTACTCATCCAAGTAGCTTCTTCGGTCTGAGGAGAGGGGTGATGAGAGTCAAGCTGCAGGTATCGATCAGTGTGTGTAGGTTTTCTATAAATTTCTATTCCTAAACTGCCGCTGGATCTTATGAAATCTACAGAAAACCTGTACACACTGATTAATATGTGTGGTTTGACTCTCATCACCCATTGCAAAACAAACTAGGAGTCATCAGGGTTCTAAACCACAGAGCAAGAAACATCCCCACCTCCACAGAAGCCAAGAAGAAGGAAGATGGACATCTGAAGACAGCCCTTAAGGCCTGTGGATATCCAAAATGGACCTTTAACAAAGCGATGTCCCAACCCAGCAGGACAAACAGTTTGAGACCCAGAGCTGACGGACGAATCTGGTCATTTTACATGGTATCTGAAAAGCTCAAAAGGATTTTTGCTAAATACCACATGCATGTGAACTTCAAACCCACAAAAACACTAAGGCAGAGACCTGTCCACCCAAAAGACCAGACACCAAAACACATCGGGAACAATGCAATGCAAAAAGGAGTGTTCGGAGCTCTATATTGAGAGAAACCAAACTGCCACTAAACAGGACAATGTCTCAGACTAGGAGGGGCAACAGCTCATGACCACAATCAGCAGTGTTCCTTCATTTGAAGGATAAAGGGACACTCATTTGATGATGAAGATGTACTCATTTTGAACTGAGAAGATAGGCAA